TGGTGACTACCCAACTGCTGAGCCTACTGATCATATAAACTTATTTCTCTCGAACATCTAAACTTCACCAGACCTTCACAACACTCTCACTGAGGAGTTAGTTCAAACTGATCTCTGAAACTTAAGCTGAAACCCAGCAGGTGTCTCAGCAGTTCCCTCACTGCCACCAAACTGCTGAGACCACTGCTCCAGTAAAACTCCCACTTACTTGTACCAAAGCACATCTTTAGAAAGCCCTCATCACCCTGAGAAACACTACATAATCAATCTTCCCATACCTTCATTTTCACCTAAGCAGGTACCTCAGCAGTTCCCTGGTTACTACCCAACTGCTGAGACCACTGCTCTCATTAAGGTTGATTATCAATTCACCTCGTTACATCATCAAAAAGCCCTTTTCTTTTTGATAAAGATTCTACTTTCACTTTCATCATACACTTAATATTTTCTCAGCAGTTGTCTCAGCAGTTACCTGCCATCCAGTCCTCTGCCAAGCCAACTGCTCACCACTTAAATTCCAAACTTCATCCATCATAGAAAGTTGTTACACACTATCTATATAAGAGTGATAGAGTATATAGACTCGGACCCCCGGGTCTCATGACTATTGGGCCCGGACAGCGGCCCACACACATCTTACGGATATCATTTGTATCATTGTACTGCTTATATGTCATTTGTATGTAACTATGTACTAGATTAGTCTTTTATGTAGTTGGGCTACCGGGCTCATATTAGCGGCCCGGCCCATTATTTCTTCTATATATACTCCCTTAGGGAGTTCTTGTAAACCTAATTTTCACAACTCCAATACACATCACTACTATTCATCTTCTTCTCCACATTATTAAGCTCAATCTCTCCTAATTAATATACTTTGGATACCCTATAATCCATCAATGGTGCTTTCATTGAGAGGTTAGAGCAAAATCAAGTGAAATTCCCTCCCAAAATATCAAAAAAATCATCATAATCTTGAAGAAAATCGAACAAAACTGTTCTGCAAAACAGAGATGAAGGTCTCGAATTTCATATCTCAACGGTTCCAGATCTGGCCGGAGCTTTGGTTGTCGTCCAAACCACTGCACCAGAGCTTTGGAATTTCCCAGCCAGAATCGAAGATGTAATCACCATTCAGGCTGCCGCCACGTGCCAGAACGCCCCCTTTTCTTCTCCTGAAGTCGCAATGGTCTCCTGGAGGTTAGAGCTCCATTTCTTCTCCACACAACCCGTCTCCGTCAACGCTCTACGCCTGAGTCAAAACAACGGTGGTGGTAGCGAAATCAGAGACCTCATGTTGACTTCTCCGGCCAACGATGGCCCTGACTGCACCCAGTCACTCCTAGGGCTTAGACCAAGGTCTCACTGTTGCACCCTTTTTCCGGCGGCGAGTGCAACCGGGGCTCTACTAACCCCCTGAGATGACGCCGACAGTTGCAGAGGGCAGGGTAAGCGTGACGGTCGTGGACTGACAACCCGACCCTCTCTTGCCGGAAGCAAAGACTCTGTCTTTCCTCCCTGCAAACGACGACAGTAGGCAGTTAGCGGCGTGATCTGGTACGGATCTTTCTCTTCGAACCGAGCAGTGGATTGCTATTCTCTCCGGACCTAACGGGAGCTAAGGGGAAGCTAATATGGGCCAGGCAGCACAAGTCAACATGGCTATCGGTTTTTTCAAATGAACCAGAGAATCAGCGGGAGACTATTTCAGCCCAGCCCATCAAACACTTTAGCCCATACCAAACCTAAGTGTCTAAAACTCCCTCCACACAATGACACAATTAATATGTTAACTTATTTGATAAGAAAATTACAAAACAAAAAAATCATAATTGAAATATTTTAATAATATAGCATCAAACTTCAATCTCGAGGGGCGAGTCATCCGTGAAAAGACCCGTAAATAGCGTCTAGCGGATCCCAGCTACGAACTTGAGTGACATGTTGAGCTAGATTATTAATTTACTATTATTATTTTTTTGAATAGTGTGTATTTTTTGACATTGAAAAAACGGACTTATGAAATTCCAAGCACTCGCGTACACCGGGCGAGCACACACACTCGCGCCACCGGGTCACGTCAAACGAGTGTGGATAGTAAGCTCCCAATCCAAATGTTATCTAATACATACTTTAGTTTCTATGTTTGGTATGAGTTATGTGTGCCTCTAGCTATCGGAAATGAACTGCAATCCCTCAGCGGTAGGTTCAGTCCTTTATGCGTGCCACGCTCCAACTAAGCATAGAAACCTAGCTTGAGCTGTAGCTTGGAAATTTGAGGCAAGTTACTTTAGGCCCAAATCCAATAGCAAATTATAAGCTCAAGAAATTATAACAATTTTGTTTGAATGCATAGGTGCAACCATATGATGACATCATACCGACCACTTAGCCGTCTCTCATGGTCATCTTTATTTGATGGCTTAGACTTCTTATAGATCTCTCGGCCATACATCACCCCGTCATCTTTATTTGATGATGTGGGGCTCTTATGCAGGCCCCTCGGCCGCACCATCGCCCCATCGTCTTTATTTGACGACGTGGAGCTCTTATGCAGGCCCCTCGGCCGCACCATCACCCCGTCGTCTTTATTTGACGACGTGGAGCTCTTATGTAGGCCCCTCGGCCGCACCATCGCCCCGTCGTCTTTATTTGACGACGTGGAGCTCTTATGCAGGCCCCTCGGCCGCACCAACGCCCCGTCGTCTTTATTTGACGACGTGGAGCTCTTATGCAGGCCCCTCGGCCGCACCATCGCCCTGTCGTCTTTATTTGACGACGTGGAGCTCTTGTGCAGGCCCCTCGGCCGCACCATCGCCCCGTCGCCTTTATTTGACGACGTGGAGCTCTTATGCAGGCCTCTGAGCCATACCATCGCCCCGTCGTCTTTATTTGACGACGTGGAGCTCTTATGCAGGCCTCTGAGCCATACCATTGCCCCGTCGTCTTTATTTGACGACGTGGAGCTCTTATGCAGGCCCCTCGGCTGCACCATCGCCCTGTCGTCTTTATTTGACGACGTGGAGCTCTTATGCAGGCCTCTCGGCCGCACCATCGCCCCGTCGTCTTTATTTGACGACGTGGAGCTCTTATGCAGGCCCCTCGGCCGCACCATCGCCTCGTCGTCTTTATTTGACAACGTGGAGCTCTCGTACAGGCCTCTCGGCCCATCGGCCTTACGTTCTGGTCATCTTTATTTGATGAACTAGACATCATATTGTGGATGGTCGCTCGACCCATCCCTTAGTCATCTTTATTTGATGACTAGGACTACTGATCATGATGAGCTACCCACATCTAGAGATCGGCCTCGACCATCCAGCAGACGGGCACCGCTACAGCTCCATCTCCAGGCCGAAGGGCTCGCACCTTTTGTTTCATTTTGGGGGCATCCGGTGTACTCTTTTTCCCTCATTAGGATTTTTTCCCACAGGGTTTTTCCTAATGAGGTTTTTAACGAGGCATCTCCCCATCGTGTATCAAAAGGTGTCAACCCTCGGCCCCCTGTTGAAGACATCATCCGACACGCATTACTCTACTCCTCTTCACCTCATTGCACTCGCCTCAAGGAGTGGGGGACTGGAAGAGCGGGGGACTTAGCGCCTCCGTTAACCAAAGAAGCAGAAATTCAAATTTTTGTTAATGAAGTTTACTCACCAGACGACGACAGATCAGCACACAGTTCTACTCTCTTTCGCCTCGAATACTCTCGACTCAGAGAGTGGGGGACTCCTGATAGAGTATATAGACTCGGACCCCCGGGTCTCATGACTATTGGGCCCGGACAGCGGCCCACACACATCTTACGGATATCATTTGTATCATTGTACTGCTTATATGTCATTTGTATGTAACTATGTACTAGATTAGTCTTTTATGTAGTTGGGCTACCGGGCCCATATTAGCGGCCCGGCCCATTATTTCTTCTATATATACTCCCTTAGGGAGTTCTTTTAAACCTAATTTTCACAACTCCAATACACATCACTACTATTCATCTTCTTCTCCACATTATTAAGCTCAATCTCTCCTAATTAATATACTTTGGATACCCTATAATCCATCAAAGAGGTTAAAGACTTCCGATGTGCATCTATAAATCTCCCAAAAGACTATAGATCAATTCATCTAGAAGGGAAAAGTTTTTAAAGTTGAAAAAGCTTTAAAAGTCTATTCACCCCCCCCCCCCCCCCTAGACTTTTACCTCTATCCGGGACCATCAAAGAGGCAGTAAGGACAATCCGCCCCCTCCTGAACTACCACCATGGATTCCAATTCCAAATGGAGATCACAAGACAAGTTACTTTAATCGCTTTTATTTAATTTTATTTAAGAACTTTTACTATGTTATTATTGTTGACATGCAACAGCGGTGTGTGTTTTAGTTTTGAGATTGTTTTTGGTGATGGTTGCTTAGGTGAAAGCGATAAGGCTTTCGTGGCCGGTAAAAGTTTTGAAGCTCTCACATGGTTAGCGATTATTCTCGCTCATAATCGGAAGGTCTATTCTGTGTCTAATCAAAGAGTGAGAAAGTCGTTTGGCTACGCGGAGTCTCTTAGGGAGACTTGGTTTATTGTGGTTATGGAGACGTTGGGGTCTTTAATATTTATAATATAAGCTAGTTTCCTTTAAAAAAAGGACTATCTTCTCTAAACAAACCGGTGCCATGGAGAAACCTATTAAGCACGTTACACAAACATGTGGCCTATTTGTATTGGACTTCCTTTTTTCCCTTTTTCTTTCCTTTTGTTATTTCATTTCTCTTCTTCTTGTCGTGCTTTTGCAACTACTGGTTTCTCGCCAAGACGCCAGCCCATCCAAGCTCATCTTCAGAAAGCATGACACCGGCCCCTTCCCTGTTAAACAAAGTCCTTCATGTAAATTACTTTGAATCGGTAAATCAATCATTTGTCCTTGTGGATCTGACATTAAGCATCTCATACCTACCAATTCATTATCCAATAAAGTAATGGATCTTTCACAACCCGATCTATTTATAAGTAACGATATTTAAGTGTTGGATAATTGATATACATATTGTATGAAAAGGAGAGATTGAACAGGAAAGAAGGAGAAGAAGTAGTATTGTGTATGAATATGAATTGTGTGTAGCCTCCTAAAGGAGTATATATAGGGAAAATCCGGGTCTGGGCCTCTAATATGGGCCTGACAGACCCGGTTACATAAATGGACTGATAGTATAAAAAGCTAATCTAGAACATCTGAATAACAATAATAATGTACAATAATATGAATGATATCTGCTAAACGTGTGTGGGCCGCTGTCCAGGCCCAGTAGTCGGCAGACCGGGGGGTCGGAGTCCATATATTCCATCAGGAGTCCCCCACTCTCTGAGTCGAGAGTACTCGAGGCGAAAGGGAGTAGTCCAAACTGTATCTGCAATGTTCTTCTGTCTTTGATTCCTTCCTCTCCGGCCGAGGACCACCACCCTTGTCCATGATGGGGAGGTGCCTCGTTAAAAACCTTTACTAGGAAAAAACCCACTGGGAAAAAATCCTAACAAAGGGAAAAAGAGTACACCTAACGCCCCCAACATGAAACAAGGAAGGTAGGCCCCCTCCAGCATGATCACTTTTGTGTAGCTCAACCTGTCTTAGCTCTCGTTCCTGCTCATGCGTGATATCTGCTGCTCATCCAGAAAATCTGACCTCTCAATCCCCCAGTCCCCCACTCCTTGAGGCGAGTGGAAACGAGGTTAAAAATGAGTAAATTCATTTTCGTACCTACACATTTAAAATGCATATAAAATTTTTCCTTGGGGTTTATGTTTCCGATCGGGAGTTCGTCACTTGAAAAAAGCGGAAATGTGAATTGTCGATGTAATGATAAAATACTTAGTAGAGTGGATGCGTGAGCCATTCGTACGCAACGGTCGCCATTCTTGGAATGACTAAGACCGGTCTTCATGCCCGACTTGGTCGGGGCTTTGTGCCTGACTTGGTCAGGACTTTGTGCCTGAGAGTCAGGGCTTTAAATCCTAGTGATGGGTCTCAAGCCACAGTCTACTAGGCATTTGATCATAATTGTATGATGGTTTGAAATTCGCCCGATAAAAAAAATGATTTAAATAAATATACTCCGTAAATAATATGAAAATTAAAGAGTACTTATCTTTTGATGGGCTGAAATATTGGGCTGCTTTGCTGAAATTGTGGCCCAATTTAATGGATGAGAGTCAAATTTGAGCTTGGAGTCGTCCTCACCCAAGAATTAAGCCCTAGCAATAGCCTTTCTTGTTGACCAAGTACAGGCGGTACAGCTAGCTCGCCCAACACCCTACCCAAGCTTTTGCTGACAGAGCTTCCGGAGAGGAGGGTGTTTTGGCCATCCCCACTGCACGACACGAGGGTTATGTGGTCGGAGTTGCTGTTCCTAAGACCGAGAATAGTCAGCGTCACTGATGGAGAGGAAGGGAGGTCCCGGTCGGACAGGGGGAGAGAACCCCTCAATGTCCGTTGCTGCCCTGCAATGCTCCGGGGTTCGCCGGAACTGCCCTTGCTTGGGTCGCTTCCAGCAGGGCTACAATTGCGTGACACAACCTTGTGCAGCTTGAAGGACCCTTTACCCAAGTACCCAACAACTGGAACGAGCCAGGACAGCTCTCTGGCACATAGTTGCGAGCTGGGACGACAGAGAGGAGTGGTGAGTGACGATGTCACGACAAAGGTGGAGATCAGAGTGGGCTGCGGACGCCGTCGCTGTTCGCCGAAGTCCGGTCGAGCTCAGCCTGTGAGGTTAGCATTTCCAAATCTAGAAGTTGCAGATCCCCTCTGGCTGGCGAGATTTGTGGCATCGGTGGCCTGCCGGTGGCGGCGATGCGAGACCATAAGGGTTTGCGGTGACCCCCTGAGACACGGCGGCTCGGTGACGGTTGCTCCGGCCAGGTCTGGGACAGGTCGGAAATGGTCTGGAAGCACCATCGCCCCTCATCACAGCTCTCGCTGGAGAGTGGAAGAGGATTCGTCGGAACCTCTGCTGCTCGGGTCACTTCTGGCGAGGCCGGATCTCTGGAACGAGCCCTCCGTTTGACCACCGAAACGAGCCCAGCCGACTCCTCAAGCAGTCTAGTATGGTGGTGCGAAATGGATGTTGGCGTCTTAGCGGCGGATGACGGAAGACGAGGTCTGAAATCTGGAGCCGTACCCAAGGCAGTGGGTGGTTCTTGCTGCTCCAATTCCCCAGAATGCAGATTCATTTTTCACCCTTTTTTTCTCTTTTGATTTTCCAGAACTTTTGTGACTTGGATGATTTTTGTTGTACTTTTTGGGAGATTTTCTCACTTGATGTGTTCAAACCTCTCAACGAGAGCACCATTGTTGGATAATTGATACCCATATCCTATAGCTAGTGAGAGTTTGAACTAGAGTGGAGAAGAAATGATGAAGAAGAAGACGAATAGTGTATAGAATGAATATTGATTGTATGAGTTGTGTAGCCTCCTAAAGGAGTATATATAGGGAAAATTCGAGTCTGGGCCTCTAATATGGGCCTGACAGACCCGGTTACATAAATGGACTGATTGTACAAAAACCTAATCTAGAACATCTGAATAATAATAATGTACAATAATATGAATGATATCCGCTAAACGTGTGTGGGCCGCTGTCCAGGCCCAGTAGTCGGCAGACCGAGGGGTTGGAGTCCATATATTCCATCATTAAGTATGAAAGTTAGCTTAGTTAGCTTACCTTTTTAGTCCGTTCTTGCAAGATTGGGTCCCCACCGTCATCGGGGGAGATGAACAGGCGAGATTCGAAGAAGAATGAAGAAGAAGATATAGACCAATGGAGAAGATATCCTGGCCATTCGAACATCCATTTTTCTTCGTTTTCCTTTTACCATTGCTTATTATGTTTATTATGTTCATTATTTATTCTTCTTCCTCATGAGCTTATATTGTGGCTTTGTGTTGTTTTTTTTTTCATTTCTTTTACTCATTTTACTTTGTTTTGTAGTACTTTTCTTTCATCATTTTCTTTTCTCATTCCTTCATTGCATTTGCAAATGTCTTGACTCGACCTCTTACTAGTTGGATTAGAATCCCGGAGAATGTAATACGATTGAAAACCTCTATAAATATTTAGTTAACACGATTAAATTATCTTACTGATTATTCAAGGAAAGTCATCTTTTCTTCTGTGTTTCAAAGGGAGGTTATATGTGTCGGCTACTATTTTGGACAACAATTTTAGTAGTAATATTAAGCCACTTAGTACATAGTATTAATACTCAGAAACACGACGACCACCTGTGGGGGACGAGAGTCAACGTCGTGGTGGCAAAAGACGGGTCCGGCCAATTTAGGACCATCGCCGGCGCTATTAAGGCGGCGCCGGATTACAGCAATACTCGGTTCGTGATTTATGTGAAATCCGGGGTTTATCATGAGAATGTTGTGGTTGATGAGAGGAAGAACAATCTTACGATTATCGGGGATGGAATGGATGCCACCATTGTTGCGGGAAATTTGAGCTATGTGGAAGGATATTCGTTAACGAGTACCGCCACCTTTGGTGAGTTCTCTCTTTTAATACGGAGTAATTTTTATATGAAGCTTATTAAACAAAGAGAGAAAAACAAATAAGCCCGATTCATTGGTTTGATTGTAAAATCACTGATAGTTGAGGCTTATAAGTACACCAAGAGGCCGTTTGGTAGCATGTTTTTGGGCTTATCAGCTTATCGATCAACTTTTTCATCAAATATGCAATTTTTGTTTTCGCGTGCTCAATTTTGTATAATAAGAAAAAGTACGGTTGAAGTTACTTTTTTGGCTATATTGGCTGAAGTTAGTGTAGATGGCCATTAATATTTAGCTATTTTTACATGTAATTTTTTCTTTATTTTATTTATAAAATATATTTTAAAAATAATTTTTTCTTAAATCAGCAGAATCAGACAATGCAACCACTTCAGCTAAAATTAAACTTCATAAATTTCAAAAAAATCAGCTGAAGTACTATAGTCTATATATGGTGCATGTATATTGTATAAGCGAGGTTTGTATTTGATAAAGTCAAATATTTGACTTATATAACTTAGGTTAATACGGAGTACATTAAAGTTACGTTATTCATATAATTTTTCTTTATAGATAGTACATACTGATGAAAATGTTTTTGGTATACATCAATTCATTAATTACAATACATCATCGGCAAGTGATTGAATCTACATAACTGAAGATTTTCTTATTTTGAATAAATTTTAGAGTAACCAAACATTCCAGCTCATATAGTTGTGAGGTTACCGAGCTTAGTGAGAGGTCTCGAGTTCGAAACCCGTTAGACATACAAGGGTTTGAAACTCAATGGAGTGAGTTTCAGCTCTGATTACTCCAGGGCTCCCAGACCCCCCAGGGCCCCTTGGAGTAAAGAAAAAAATAAATTTTAGAGTAACCAAACATTCCAGCTCATATAGTTGTGAGGTTACCGAGCTTAGTGAGAGGTCTCGAGTTCGAAACTCGTTAGACACACAAGGGTTTGAAACTCAATGGAGTGAGTTTCAGTTCTGATTACTCCAGGACCCCCAGACCCCCCAGACTCCCTTGGAGTAAAGAAAAGAATAAATTTTAGAGTTAGAGCCTATTTGATAAAATTAAAATTGGTGAAATTTGTTAAAATTGATGAAATTTTGATTAAACAAGCTGAATTGGTTGAATCAACCTCATTTAATGAGTTTGACCATTTAAGTAACTAATAAATTTATGGTACCTTAAGAGTAAATTGAATAAATGATCCCTAAACTATGATTTGGCACAGCTGTGTTTGGCAAAGACTTCATAGCACACGACATGGGATTCCACAACACGGCCGGAGCAGCTAGACACCAAGCCGTGGCCCTTGAGGTGGCCGGCGACCGGGGAGCCTTTTATCGCTGCAAAATGGTGGGGTACCAAGACACGCTCTACGCCCGATCCAACCGACAATTCTTCCGGGATTGCACCATCTACGGCACGGTCGACTTCATCTTCGGCGACTCTGCCGCCGTCTTCCAAAACTGCACTATCCGTCCCCGAAAACCGCTGCCCGGCCAGTTTAACGCCATCACCGCCCAAGGCCGCGTGGACCCGAGTAGTAAAACCGGGTTTTCATTCCAAAACTGCGACGTTTCACCCGCAGAGAATATCGCCGGCGTCAAAACATTCTTGGGGCGGCCTTGGAGGAATCATTCTCGAGTGGTTTTCACAAACACTTATATGGATAGTTTCATTGACCCGAATGGTTGGGTGCCTTGGTCGCCGAGAGATAGGGCGACACCGGACACCGTTTACTACGCCGAGTTTGGCAACTACGGCAGAGGGGCCGCAACGGCGGGCCGAGTGCGGTGGAAGGGATTGCATTTGGGGATGAGTAGTGAAGAAGTCAGCATGTTCAGTGCTGAGTCTTTTATTGATGGAAGCTCTTGGATTATTCCTAGGACGACTAATGTCACCCTCAACTCTTCTTCTCCTAATTCATAATTCATGTAATCAAGTATGGCATCGTTATATTCAAATTCATAATTCATGTAAATCAAGTATGATTTGCGTGGTATATTCTTTAATTTTTTAATTTTTGGGGAAAATCAGTTTAAAATCAGTTCAATAATAACCAACGGAGTTTTTAAATAAAACTAAAACATGAGTTTAATACACCAAACTCTAGCTTGATTTATAAATTGGGAATTTTTCAGAAATAGACAAAAAAAGGAAGTTATATCACTTTTTTCACCTTTAAAAGTTTCTTTCAAAAATAGACCACTTCAAATTTCTTTTTAAAAATAGACCTCATTCGTATGTCTGAAGCAAGTTGATTCTAACGTCTTCTCCTAATACACGCACATAAGGTTTGAGGCACTGCTCTCCTTTTGTGAAACGAATGCAAAGTATGTGTATGAACTCAATTTTTTTATTTTTAAATAGAAAGAAAGAATGACTAAAATAATACTTCCAGCTTTCCCTTAGACAAAAATAGGACCAACTTTAGGATCGGACAAAAAAGAGACCAATTATTAATGAATGGACCGAAATATCCCAAAAATATTATCCTTTCCCGTTTGTCTCTTCTCCGCCTATCGCACAACACACCTCGCTCGCAGCTCTCCTTTACCCTTGCTCATCCTTCATTTCTTCTACACCTTCGTTTCGTACCTTCTTCGTCCATCACACCAGCTTTCCATTCCTTCGCACCATCGGATATAGGGGTTATACTTCGCCGTCGATTTCGCTGTATTCCACCTTCATCACACGTCGTTGCGCCGCTTTGCTTCTTCTGCTTCTTCGATTTCCGGTATGCGGTGTATCCTAATGTGTGGCGAAGATTCTGGTGTCTAGGGTTTTCAAATCGGGGTCAGCGGGGTTCAGAGTTGGGGAAACAGGGATTGCGAAGAAGAAGAGGGGGCAAGGGTTGGGGTTGGGGAGTGGAACAGGGGCACTCGCCCATGTTACCAGCGATGATCGTGTCAGCGAGGTGGCGGTGCTGACGGGGGTCGCAGTGGGGTGGCGTGGTGGGGCCTGCGTCTACACATATCTGGATGGGGGTTTGGGTGATCGAGCTAGGGGAGGGATGGGGCAACGATGGGCTGGTAGGGGTGGAGTAGGGTTGTGCGCATTGTGCAAGGCAGCAGTGATGGTTACCGGTTGCTAGAGTGAGTGTCAGATCGGTGGTGGTCACTGGAATCACTGTAGCCGGTGGTTTGGGGGCAGCAGGACTGCTGAAGAGGGGTGGGCTGAGGAGGCTGGAAAGAGAGATTGAGGACTGCAGAGGAGCTGGGGCCGGGCTGTGTAAGTTACCTACCGGAGGCCTCGGGTGGTGGTAGTTGTTTCATCGGCGGTTAAGGTCTGGCGACGACAGTTATTTCTTCGGCTGTTAGGGCGGTGGTGGTCACAATCAAGGCAGTTGGCCACGTACCGGCAATAAAATTGGTCACTGCCAACGGTGGTAATAGTAACAAGCGGAGGTCACTGGCCAGCACCTGGCCAACTTTAGTCACTGGGTGGGTGGTCACGATCGGATTGTGGTGGGCTTTGGTGATTGACCGAGCGAACGTTTGTCATTGAGTCATTGGATGTGTGAATGTTAGCCACCGGAGGCATGTAACTTAACTGAGATATTAGTGGTTGTGACATTGGTAACTGCAATATTGGTCAATGTAGCGGCAGTAACTGAAACGGTGGTCACTGAACGGAAGTCACTGTGTAAATTGGTCACTGAACGGAAGTCACTATAGGGTTGGTCACTCACGGTGGCCGGCGGAAGTCACTATGACGGAGGTCACAGAATTAGGGGTGGATTCTGTGACTCTTAAAAATTAAAATAAAAGTAATAATAAAATAAAATAAAATTTGATCAAATACAATTTATCTGATAAAAATGAAACAAAATGAATATAGAAGATAAGATCATTAATAGTCAACGTCAAACAATATACAATAATTAGTGTAACTTTTTATAAGTCCCAATAAACTAAAGTGAGTAAATAAAGATATACATCTTAATTGTACATTATGTTATAAAATGATAAAAAAAGATCAATAAGTTAGACTATTCAACTCCAAATTGT